ATGGCATAGTATAGAAGTTTTCTCCCTGTTTCCAGTGTGCTAATAAACTAGAAATCATGATTCAAATAATTCTAATACATAATAACTAACATAAATTTATTCAATCATATATATGATATTCAAGAATATATGAAATTAGTTCTGCATATTTATTGAACAATTTACCTTTGCCTCTTGCTTATCCATGATATCTGAAGTTTGTTCCATTATCTATTAAGTATGAATATCTTAAATATTTTGAGAGTGTTTTTAGGAAATAGTTTTATTGAAGGCTTCAAGGCTTGCTTTTTTTATGTTACATATGCGTCCCTTTTTATAGAAAGGAAATGACTACTACTTTACAATAATGCATTCCTACTTTTACATTATAATATAATAATAATAATAATAATAATAATAATAATAAAGACAATAAATGTGCAGCTAATAATGCTGCACCTATTTTAATACTATAATAATAATAAGACAATAATGTGCACCTACTTTATGACTTATTTACATATTTTTGTACATTGTCTTCTTCTTCTTATCTTCTTTGTCTTCTTTTTTATCTACGACTTTATGTGTTACACTTGTCTTCTTCTTCTTATGTGTCTTATCTTTTTGTCTTTATTTTCTCCTTCTTATCTTCTTCCGTCTCTATCTTATTTGATCATTCCAGCTATACATCTGGAATTATATTATCTTCTCCGTTGCATTTTGAACATTTATGATTGGATATTTGTGTCCAATTAACTTACAATATCTGGTTAATAGCTCGTTTGAGATGAATCCCTTCTTTAATGGTCTGGTAATAGGTTGTTCTTCTGGTTTGAGTAGAGATAATATCCATTTTTGTACTTCGTCCATTTCTGCTTGCCTTAGCTCCGTCCCTTGAGTTTGAGTATATCATAAGTTGGTCTCGTGAATAATAACTCCATATTGCATTCCCATTTAGATAATTATTTGCTAGTTCTTGGATAATTGTTGGCATACCAATTATTCTTTTATTAGCATAGAAACTTGGTATCCCAATTTCTTGCATCTCTGGTTGTTCTCCGATAACTTCTGGAATTATCATATCTCTGGTTAATCCTATTTTCACAACTTGTATTATTGGTTTTATTTCATCATATAGTATCTCTGCCGGGGCCGCATAAAACTTTACATAAAATAGATTGCCTTTTGTTACTCTTTATCAAAAAAGGAGGTAAAGTCAATTTACAAACGACATCAAAATGTACAAGTGAAAAACACAATATTAGCAAAATGTAAGCACACTGCCACATGAATGTCTTTTTTTGAAGAAAAAAAATTATATTAGAAAGTTATCTCATTCTAATTATATTCAAGTTGTTGATCTAGAAATAAAGAAAAAATAAGCAAAATTATCTGAGAATCATTTAATTCAGATTTGATCTCAGTTCAGTAGATTCAAACCACACCAAAAGAAAGTTATGCAGAAAACTTTCCAACACATTCAGTTCAACATCCACATATCACAACAAAGAAAATGTTCATACACAAAGTTAACACCAATATAAAGCTTTCTACATGCTTTATAATTCCTCTAC